ATGTTGTTCAGGTTAAATTGCTTTTTGCTCTTTTCCTGTCATTCCGTTTGTGACCCCTGCGCCCAACACGTGGGGCGAAGTCGCCTCAAAACTCAAGTCATCATCCGTACCTTTTCCGGTAGAAATCCACACCGAATACGGAGTGCAGAGTAGTATGTCCTACCAGACGCCAGCGGCTAATCTCCTGTCTCAATTGAAAAAAAAAAACAAGGGACTCTCGGAAAAGGAAACGCGGCCTCCTTACAGTTCGGGTGCATGCCAAAAGGTGCAAGTTTCAATGCAACGCTGCACAGCATTTCTCGATATCAGAAATAGAACTCGCTAAACAATGATATTCATGATTTCCTATCATATACTCCGTCGATATGATGCATTGAGACCCAGTCGCGTTGGGGTTCCAATTAGGCCTCCCAACTTGATATTGATTGGCATCTAGTCCACCTCGTTGGGGTGCGGCACAGTCTTTGTACATAAGGACGGCGCGCCGGTTGCTTCTGGCCCCTCTTTTAGGACCACAATATCTATTCTGGCTAGGGAAATGAATTAATGAAATTCACTAGTGTCACTATTGTTGGCCTTTTTCTGTTTTGAACTAGTTTGCAGGTGTTTCTCTTGTTGACTATGCCAGTCTAGATTTTTGGAGGTTAGCTAGGGTTATTATTTATTGTTATTGGTGTTAGGGGGAGAAAATATAAAAATAAGATGGAATTATGATAATAATAAATATTTTAAAAAAGAAATTGGAGATTTTACCGACAACCCCATGACAGAAGCTTTGACTTTGACGGCTCCCGTTCTCGCATGAATGGATAACTTAATACAAGAGCTATACGGTACTGTAATGCAAAATTCAAAATTCTGGAAGATTTTGTTTTAATGAAATGAAATGATAAAAAAAAGTAAGATAAAAAATAGTAATTTAACAGGTTAGGGGTAAAAAATCAAACCGAAAGATGGAAGAAAAAAAAACAAAAAAAAGGAACAGTCGGTGTCTTCAGACCGTTTCGATCGACAATGCTCGGCAGAAAGATAATGTGAGATTCGATTCTGCTGTCTCACTTAGTACCTAAGTCAAGTCACTTGATGTTTTACTTTAATTATCCAATAGATAGAGAGGATCTTCGTACTTTGTCATTCTACTTTCGTTATGGGGGAAGGGGAGGGGGAAAGTGGGGGATTATCCCATGTTTGCCTATATTACTCGCACTTATTTCCTTGAGAGAGAAACTGAATTAGAAATGGGCCACGTACTCATGGAGCTGATGAGGTTACCGTAAGGGTACATGTACAGCGCCAACCCTGGACAGGTTACAACCTCAGCTGGACGGAACATGCTGAGAGTTACAGACTAATGCCCAACTACGACACCCTCATCCAGACTGTCGGGTCCATGGTGGTATTCAACGCGAGAATCAGCCGGTGAGTGCATCACCAGGACTATTCCGTAAGTGATATTCCTGCCGGTGGACTGGGACTGAGGCAATGAAAGGGACGGCGAAGAAGGAGTGTGCTAGACCAGTTCAGGCCATGGCATGTTTGGAAATTCTGGATCTTTTCTTTATGATCCTTCTTCTGCCTTGTATCATTAGCCATCTTTCTAGAAAATAATAAGATGGCATTCTATAGGAGATTGATGTCTGGTAAAAAACAGCGAATCTCCTTCCCTCATGCCATCTCTATCTCGTTCAAATTTTTTGCGTTTTGGTTATTGTATTTATGTTATAGATTACTTTATTCTATATTATTTTAATTTGACCTTGGTAGAGTATGATTGTTGTTCCCCTTGTGTACGTTTACAGTGTTGGGTGAGTAATGTTATGCACTGATATAATTTCGGCCGTACCACTCATTCTGCTTGGAAAACTAAACTGGAACCCGCCTCAATACCCATGGGACAGCTTCAAAATTATGGGTTGATGTTTTGCTATCAATAGCACGAAGCCTTTTCCTTCTCGAACTCCACTACGTCAAATTCTTTATTTCTTCACATCCATCGGCGATCTCCGTATCTAAAACCCACAGCAGTGACTTAATTGAACATTGAAGTTGTATCCACGATATCCCATGGTCTCCACGGGACGAAGACAAATCTCGGTATCGTTCATAGTTGAAAATTTCGTGTGTCTTTCAATAACCCAGGTAGGCAAATGGATACTGATGATAGCAAAAAAATAAAAAAATTAAACTTCCACATGCTCGCCCCTCCTCAAGGTGGAGTTCAAGGCAAAGCTCAAGCCTTGGGCTTGGCGCATTTTTTCGCGATCTTCAAATGGTCTGGTCGTTTATTCTGACATAGTAATAACATCGTGTCAATTTTGCATCGGAATTGGCCCCCACCGCAACCAATTCGGTCGCCTTTTTTGCCTTCGTCCATTTTACTCACAGAGGAGATGCTAGCCGAGATGGATCCATCTTCAGGTCCTGTCGAAACTTTAGAATTCCTCACAGCCAACTCTGCAGACTCGAGCGATTTCCGTACAGGGAATGTGCGAAACGGAACTCGTATACTAGTAGGTACCTACCTCCTCTGGCGTAGTGGTTTGAGTAGTATAGGTAGGTACCTGGAGGCTCCATGAAGTTTACTTGACTATTTCTCCACGCTAACCAGGGTAGATCGGGAATTGCGGATGAATTCCCCGCTCCCACTCACTTTTGACTCCGTATGTCGGGGTTACTCGGACCTTACGGCGTTTATTTGTTTCTCCTCTTCGCCTCTTACGGAGCCAGTATCAATCTTGAATTCTTTTGGGGGTTAGTTCACCGCGTATATGTAACGAGCTTGGAGTGGGTCGTTTGACCCTTCTAGACTGGGATCTTCTGTCCTCTTGTTTCTTTGTAGGAAAACTGGATACTATGCTATCATTATGAGATCAGGTTTAATCTCGACCGACCGAGCTTTTTTTTTTTGTTTTTTTTTTAAGGCCGATCTTGATGTATTAATCTCGGCCTGTATTTTGTCATGGTCATGTCATGTTCTGTATGGTACTCTGTGTGGGTATTGGTTTTAGGTCCAACTACATACATACAAGTAACATGAGCCGACTCTGAAGTATAGCTACTGTATCTTAAGTACCAAAAAGTTGTTGAATAGCTACATTCGCTTTCACAGCTACTATACGCTTTGAATATCTTCAGGGTAGTGCGGATGTACTGGTAATCAAATAGTACTGGACAACATGAGATACACCAAATGCATTATCCGAACACGCCAATCAGCAATTCATATGATACATAATAGAGATCTATATATGGACATGCATACATATCTTTCTGCAGCTCAACAAGCCACTAACTAACGAAGATCACACAATCCTATTCATTCGATTCCTCACGGAATCTACGAATCCTCCATTTCTCCACCCAACTCATCATTATCGATAGAGGCATTCAACATGTTGATCACTGAGGGATCGACTAAATTCTTAGTGTCGTTCTCGTGGTATACAACCTATCTCGGGATAGTGCCTGCGGATAGTGCTTTAGCCCCAACGGCTTTTTCTTCTCAGCTCTTCTTTCACCTGCCGAAAATCAAGCTGAACTTTGAATGCAATCTTGATTTTACTTATTTTAATCATTTAAATTTCTTTTTGCTTGCATTAGGGCAGAGCAACCTGTACCTTAATGTCAATGTTTACTCGTGCATGTATAGATGGTGTATTATTTTTGGCGATCAGTTATGTACTGTGAATTTCTGCTATGCTTTTTTTTTATTCTAATTATTTTATTTTTATTTTTATTTTTTATTTTTAGTCTCTCTCTCTCTCTATCTCTCTCTCTCTCTCTTTGTCTCTCTGTGTGTGTACTAGTATGTGTGTGTGCCTTGAATAGGACAGTTACTGCCGGTAGTCGGTCACTGCTTCAGGTGTATTCTAGGTAGTATATTCTTTGTGCTATTGAATCTGTGATGATGGTATGTGGTTCAATGGACCAGGTTATGTTGCTATTGTGTAATATTGTTCTGCAGTCATAGATGCTACTAGTAGTAGTTTCTCGATTATAGATTTTGCTCATCAGCTTGGGGTCATGATATATTCTGATTTTCTCGATAAGAATATTGCTCACCCACCTGAACAATACGTCCCACATGTCCATCCTTGTGGTCATTTCATATCGTAGAATATCCGAGTAGTTAACGTTCAAACTTGAGACTTAAAACAATCCTCGAGCCATATTTACTTCTAGCACGCACGGAGCAGTGGTCGCACCGCTTATAGCAAGCCATGATTATTGGTAACATAAAGCCCTATATGTCTATATATTTCTATAATGTTTTGTTGCAGTAGTTACATGCATTCTCTACTCAGTCGTAAACACTTCGGCGTAGGCCTTGAAGTGGGAGTCCAAGTACCGGAGTAAGAGCGATCTACATAGATTCATATCTACGGCACGTGAGGATCTCAAGCACAGATTTCTATACTTCAATGTGACACTTCTTGCAGTGCAAGTTACTGAGCTAACACTAGAGTGGCTTAAATCGTCCGACGATGGGTGGATGAATAGTCGAGCGGTTGGAGTTTTGCGTTGGGCCTTACTAACCAGCCTACATTGATAGTTCATGAATATCATGGGCTTTCTGGAAGGGTAAATACTGTGGCAGGGGGCTGGTGAATGACAGAAAAGAGTGCTAGAATTAGCAAAGTACTGTCGAATGGGGTCACATTGTTGTCAGAAAAAAGGAGGAATTGCCTTCACACTACTTACTATATCCCCATGGCGGACCATGATCATAGCCGAATACTATATGTAGAAGGCTTTTTTATTATTATCATAAGCTGCGGAGGAAGGAATCTTATTATGTATGCTATTTGCAGTTGAGCTAAAATACATGAAATCCGTCATTCAATCCCGAATGAATTCCCATGATTTTTTGTTATGCTTTCTTAATTTGCCCTTTTATTCCCCTTGGGTTTTTCTGAATACTATATCCTCCGAATATGTATCAAAGATGATCATGTCACCCCCCACGGCTATCATGTGACAATGCCCATAGAATGAACGACTCAGTTGGTGTGATAGCCGGTAGCAAGTTCGCATCTAATCGTACAGTCAGTCACGGTCAACTTCAGATATCACAAGATACTTACGGATCAGCAGCATACTGAATGTTGCATTGTTCCCAGGACTCGTTGCGGACAATCACGGCACGGAACCGAACTGCATCATTGATGCTACAGAAACGGAAGATGACATTGCGTGCCTACATGGATTAATACTCAACACAGCATTGTTACTCGGGAATGAGTACTTACCTCCCCAGGAACGTAGCTGTCCAGGATCTTTTCAACCTTACGATGGTTGCCGGCAGCCAAGTCAGAAAGCTGGTGCATGGTAACACCGAGGTCAACACCAACAGCACGGACAGCACGGGTGGCACCGGTGGACAGGCTGAAAGACAGCTGAGAGCTGACAACGTCGACTTCTCTCCCCATCTCCACGAAGACAGTGACCTTTCTTTCTTGATCAAGATCGATGCCGTTGGGGTACTTATCGTAGAAAGCCTTGCACGCTTCGGCGTCACAGAACAGAATCTGGGCAGTGCCCGAGGGAGTCACAGAAATACTCTCAATAGTACCGCCGTGAATCAAAGATAGGACCCTTGCAGGAGTCTTCCAGGCGGTGGGCAAGCCCCTGATGAGAACACGTCTGACGCGAGCAGCTTGAAGAAACGAGCCTATTAGCAAAGATTGTCAGGGCAGGATGGATATTAACGTCATACAGGGCTTGTCACGGAGCTCTGGAGTACCCCAGGTCTCAAATGTGGTCTGGTACTCACGGTCCTCTTTTCTCTCAACGGAAACATGGGAAGTGGTAGCGAAGGTGTCAGCCGAGACGAACTCGGACGCGCTGGACTGTTCAGCGACCTCGAGAGGCATGGGCTCTGTAACAAAGCTGGCGAGTGTGCTGTCATTGTCCGGGCCAGTAAAATCGGCATCGACATTGACCTGAAACTCTGCTGCAGGAGTATGAGCTGCGTTTCAGATAGACAGCACGTTTTAAGTCTTACCAGGAGTATTGGGCTCTTTAGGAGTGGAGGTGAACACAAAATCATCAGCAAAGGTAGGGGTTTTGGCGAAGTCATCATGAGACTTGGAGAGGCTGCCGTGCTCACTGGATGCGTCCTCAGAAGCAGCAACCACAGAGGATACCTTCCTGTAAGCATTTGGGTCAAGCTTCAAAGCCCTGGCAGCGGCCATAAACCCTGCGGTATCATCGACATTGGCGATAGGATACATCTTTGTGACGGGCTTTTGACCGAATGAGATATGCGAGTCGTTGATATTAGGATGGTAGGAGGATGGGAGTGAGGGAGAGGGACTGTGAGTGTGAAAGACGGGAGGAGTCTTGTAGCCAGCGGAAGATGACTGTTTTTTGTGTTATCGATCCACACGTCAGCTCCCAGTAGAAAAAGGCAAGACAAAACAATATTGGTCAGGGGGAATAATAATGTTACGCTGGGGTAGGAGGCAGTGTTTGCTGGAGGAAGAAAGAGAAGAGGGAAGAGGGCAAGAAAGAAAGAAAGAGAGAGAGAGAGAGAGAGAGAGAGAGAGAGAGAGAGAGAGAGAGAGAGAGAGAGAGAGAGAGAG